ACAAGCCATTTCTGTTAATTACCAGTGCAGTAAAGCTCTCAATACTATCTCTCACTGTATCTTGTAGGATAAAATGTTCCTCATACAGCTGGATAAACACATCATGTGATGGGTGAGTAGCTGGCTCATGGGTTGGGCACAAAGGGTTGCAGTGAATGGAGTGACTTCACACTGGTGACCCATCACCAGTGGGGTTCTACAGGGCCCCAGTCTCGATGCTGTGCTCTTCAATAGCTTCATAAATGACTTGCATACACGACCAGAAGAGTACCAAAACTGGAAGCCATGCTTCCTCTGTTTTATCATATAGTGCTTTACAGTTTGTTCTTTCTATCACCAAATATAATGCATGATGAACAGATGTCATTTTAAAGGAATCTGACAAATTTTTCTTCTCTTTATGTTACATAAATTATTTTTCTCCTGTAATAGAGATAGACCAAGCTCTTCACTTGCAATCTTTAAACTGCTGGCTTGAGGAATTTCCAATTTTGAGGACCAAATTTGATTTTCTTGTTTAGGTACTCTAAACAGGTTGGGGTGGAGATCACTGGTGAAGGAGAAGATCACCGCATCTTCTTTCTTTGTCCAGACGCTACTTTTCCATTAAATTCAAACATAATCCATTTGTCTGTTCACTAGCTTTGAACTAGAGTTGAAAGGAAAACACGCATTCCCTTCTTGTCCTATGTAAATACATAGCTTTTTGGGCTTCCAGAAGCAGTTCAATGTCTAGAATGTGGAAGAGCAATAACTTCTTATCCCACCTTTTCCCAAAAATACTTTACACTGACCAACTGACCAGTGACACAAAGAAAGCTTCAAGAGGTTTGTCTACAATACTGAGTCCCTGCCAAGAAACCTCGCTGAGTTAAATGACCCAGTCAAAACACTTCTGGCAGCTTGCATGTAACTGCAACAATCAAAGAACTTTGCAAATTTATGTAATACCAGTCCTGGAGATGATAAAGCTCTATCAACTACATTTCTTTTTTGATACACAACATCTCACTGTTGATGTTTTAACAGCAACACTTTTCTTGCCTGAGCAAGCAGCTGCATTGACTGTGTGACAATCTCAGCATATAAAATACTCTATTTTAAGGTTATTTGGAAAAAAGAATAGTCTTTGCTGAATCAGAGTATTTCAGTTTGATCCTTGTAAATCTAGATGAACTTCAATTTTATTTTACTCCCAGTTCCAAAAATGCATGGGTAAATCTACAGCAATTTTGGGTCAATGATCTATCCTGGTTATTTAAAACTATACAAATGAGAAGTCAAGAACAATGACATTGTGCAAGATTGTCAATAGAATAGCTTAATCAGAACCTGTACCCTTGTGTTTCAAATTTTCTTAAATTTTTATTTCATAAAACTAAATAGGCTGGCTTTTCAGATGGCATAAATGTGCATTAATTTCTATCTGGCATTGGTTACACCAGATCCTGGTATGTGCTCACACTACTCTCATTCTCTCTGGAGATAGTTCTCTATGGAACTATCATGTCAAACATGTGGAGTATCCATTTTCTTGAAATGGAATATGATTTACAACTGAAATGTAGAAATAACAAGGTTGAGAATAACATCTACTACACAACAGAATGTGTGCATTTATGGGGCTGAATCCTGTCATTTGTTTGATCTAAACTGTGCTTAACTGTTGCTTTAGACACTGAGCAGTGGTTTATAGTATGCAGAGGAGCATGGGGTAGAAATCCCTGAATTAACTCCAGTACAGTGCTCAGCAGATGTATGGTAGACAATGAAGGTAACGATTCTGCAGACAGCTGCACACCATGCTCTGTACCAGGGCATGCTATCACCCAGATATGTTCTCTTTATGAATCCCTAAACTTTCCACAAGTGGCCAAACCCGTCACAAGATTATTTTATCATAAACAGCAGGTCCAAACAGTCTTGTTTCCTCTATTTTGACTTTCCCCCCTTGAAGTACTCTAGGATTATCCAATCCAACTAATGCCTGAATGGATACCTGAAACAGAGGCTAGACAAAATTAAGAGAATAAAAGTGGGTATTTATTGAAAGCCTTCAATAGGTGCTCCTTGGGCAGTCAGACACTTCTGAGATAGACGATGGCCACGAGTTTTTCATACATTTATAAGTTTGGTCCATTTACATATCAGTGGATAAGTCTCCAGTTACAGCTTCAGGTAATGAAGGCATATACTCCCAGTTTTCTTCCCCTTTAACTCACCTTTGTTTATACTTTTAAGGCCTGAGACAATAAGCTGTCCTCGAGCTTTAGGCCTAGAGAGGAATTGTTTTGTCTGACCAAAATGTGAAGACAGTAGCTAACACTCTGTATGGAATTTTAGAGTTATACACTAAAGCAGTACAGGTTTTTTAAAAAACAAAAGGTAAAATCCCAAGGCATCACAACCATTAACCCAGTACTGCCAAGTCTACCACTGAATCATGCCCCTAAATACCACATCTACACAGCTTTTAATACCCCCAGAGATGCTGGGTCAATCACTTCCCTGAGTAGTCCATTTCTGTGCTTGACAACCTTTTCAGTGAACAATTTTTTCCTAATATCCAATCCAAATTTTATCCTAATATCCAGTCTAAACATCCCCCAACTTGAGGCCATTTCTTCTTTTCTTATGGTTTGTTATTTGGGAGGAGACTGACCCCCACCTGGCTACAGCCTCCTTTCAGGCAGTTGTAGAGAATGATAAGGTCTCTCCTGAGCCTCCTCTTCTCCAGGCTAAACATCCCCAGTTCCCTCAGCCAATCCTCACCAGATTTGTGCTCCAGACACTTCACCACCTACATCACCTTTCTTTGAGTGTGCTCCAGCACATCAATAATGCAAAATTGCTACGTACTTTCAATGTGGTAAGTACAACAAAACCCACCTCGAGGAGTATGAAATTCAGAATTTGGATTTTTCCACCCAGCTTAGATCTGAATCTGCCACCATTGTGTTCAGTGAAGAAAAAGAAGGGAGAGACCATCCACAGTCTCACAGAGTTCTGGCTCCCTGCAAATGAGACATTACCCTATGCAGAAGGTTTCTTTGGGGACCATACGACATTCATAATTTAGAGCAGCCTTGGGGCTTTTCTAACTTGCACCAGGCCGCAATCAGTCATTGCTGGGGTAATCTGGAAACAGCAGAAGTTGTTTTATTAACAGATCCACAGCAAAGGAGCCAACTGAAGGATGTTGCAGCCCTTTGGTTTCCATAGTGCAAACACCAAAGCTCTTGGGCTGATGCCAGGTACTATATATGGGAAAAATGGGGAAACTGTTCTTCACAGACAAAATGTCTTTTATGTGCAAAATGTTACTGTGCCTCTAAATTATTTAATTTTGTAAATTAATGAAATATGCAAATTAAGAAATGGCTGTTAAAAAGATATAAATATATTTCATTGCCTAAAGTAATTAGAATAAGTAATTACTTAAACATTATGGTTTAAAATTGAATAATATCTTTGATAACAAGATGAATAAGGAAAAAATGCTTTATATGCATGATATAAACTACTTATCCTAGACATAGTCCTTTTTATACTGTTTACATAAGATGCATATATGCTTCACAAAACCTTAACATTGATACCAGTAATTTTTAAGGACATCTTTGTTTCATTCATTTACCTTGTGGCTTGATTTTGTAAGAAATACAGATGACTAGACTTAATTCAGGCAAGCAGCTATATCGACACCTGATGTGATAAAGGCTGAATCAAAGGAATATAGACTTTCCAACAGTATATGGACTCCTTCCGTGCCTACATTTACAATTTGTTTCCAGGCTTTGCTGAGCCATAGCCACTCAGTAAAGGTAGCTTTCTGCTACTTAGGAGGATTTTTTTCATTTCTTCCAGAAATCAACAAAAACCTACAGATCTTGTTAGGATGTTTTCCTGCAGACAACCATGTACATCACACTGTGTATGTGTGCCCTCAACAGGCTCAGATGAAGGGCTTAATCTTATCATCAGCAAGGTGTGGTGACTGCTCTGGTTCTCTGATTAATGTCTCCTTTCTTCTTTCCTGCTTCATCGACTTCCTAAGAAATTAATGCCACTATATAAACACAGACTCACACACTTTCATCCTCTCCACTGGCTTAAATGCTTTTGTCATCTCTGGCACTGCCTATCATTGATAACACCATCTGCAATGGCTGTGTTTTTCAAGCTCATAGACTTTGTCTAAGTGCTCCACTATGGTGAGGATAGAAATTTCCTGCTGTCAGGTCTGTCTGGTGAGCAGATGAGAGACTTCCCATGAAAATCAAGGGAAGCAGAAATACAATGTAGGAGAGCACTGAGTGGGAAACATGGATCATTAGGGACATGATTTAGTGGTGGACTTGGAAGTGCTAGACTAATAGTTGGACTCAATTTTGGAGATATTTTAGAGCTTCAGTGATTTTGAGATTTCTACAAAAAATATTCTGTCATTAGTTACACCATTCAGTAATAGCTCCTTTACTGATAGTTCTGTATTTTTCATAAGCCTAGTGTAAGTGTTCTGCCAAATTAATTCTTACAACTTTTATATTGGGAGAGTACAATCTCTAGGAGCAAAACCTATTATACAAAAGTCAAAAAGGGGTATCACTTTAGCTAACTGACTAGTCACCTATTTTTGTTTTAGAATATGGCCCATGAATGCACTGTCAAGTATCAGAAGTGTGGGACATAAAACAGCTGAAGAGCAACAGAAAATAGGAAGGCTTTTTCTAGGGTTTTTCAGCTGTTACTGTGCCTGCGCTATCCTGCAAGAGGAAGAGTAAAGTGATGGAAGCATAAAGGTTTTCCTTGATTCTCAGCAGATGGCTTGTGAAATATAATCCTATAGGGAGTACAGGGGCCCCTGAATATCCTGGATAAAAAAATGAAATGCATAACTGGTACGCTGAAGTTAGCTTGTAGGAAGAAATTTTTGTGAAAATAATACTTTAATTATGTAGCTAGAACTTTAGAGTTAAATACCCAGACTTACGTTCTTTCACTCCATGGATTACCAATCCATAGGTTTTGGACATCATCAGGACTATTGCCAGTGGTCAGGGAGGAACAGGCTATCTGACCAAACTGCCCTGAAGTACTGCACCAGAAAGGTGCTCAGAGCCTGAGAATTAAAGCACCTAGTTAGCTCAGTCTGAGTAAATTAAATGATCCATCCAAGTCTGAGTATCAGAGACATAGCAAAATTATCCTGCTCCATCACTGCCTTTGAGCAGACAGTCAGATCTCAGCAATTCACTGCAAACTACATACTTTTGTCTGCTGGCTCTCTATTAGAAACACCCATCATCACTTCTCCCATAATTATTCTCTTATTTCCACAGTGCTTGGTGCAAAAGACATTCGTAAGTTTTCACCTGTTGATTTGTGGCAACAGTTTGATTTCCTCAAGTAATTCAGTGACGTTCTGCCAGCACTAGGATGTCAGAACAAGTGAAGAACCTGAATAGACACATTTGTCAATCACATTAGGTGTCCAAGATGAAATGACTGAATAAATGAAAGCCATTTATCTAGTGAGCAGCTGCCCTTATTACTAAAGATCCTCTTAAAATTAAAGCTGTGCTGATAGCTTCTTTTTAATTCAGTTAAGAAAAATAAAAGTAAATACTTGTGACAATTATTTTAAAATAATACAGCTGAAAATTCTTTCTAAGAACCAGATTCTTAAGAATAATCTTTTGCTTCACCCGAACCATAATGTTTATCTTGAATGTGGGAAACTGGCATTTAAGTTTAAAAAATAAAATCAAAATTAAATTAAAAGAAAATTAAATTTTGTCAATTAATAATAGCAGTAATAATATTTTCAGATGAAAAATCAGATTTTCATTATTTTGTTACTGTTTTTAAAAATTATTTTCTGTTTATACTAGAGCAATGAAGAAGACTGTTCAATCTTTCTGAAACAACTTGATACTGCCAAAACCAGAGGACTCACTGAAAAAGATGCCAGTTCAGTGTTGCTCAGTTTATATCAACTCTCAAAGCTTTTGATCAAGAAACATAATTTATGTGAATGTACTTAGCTACAAATGGCAGCATCTGCTGAGTATAAAGATTATGTTTAAAGGTAAAATACTGTCTAGCAGTGTAAATATATCTCATTTCCTCAAGTGAGGGTGAAGCTTAGGAGGGAAGAATCAGACAGGCTAACCTAACCAGCTGAAATTTTCAAGGATAAGTATAAGCCAACAACAGCCATACCCATGCAGTTTTTGAGGAAAAACAGCTAAATGATGGATGATACTGCCTTTCAGTGCTGGCTTGCCATGAACCAGGCAGAAAGCTGACCTTGCTCTATAGAAAGGAAAGAAGATAAAAATAAATATATTTGTCATCAGTTAAATGTAAAAATGAGCAGAGAAAATTCTTCTGGACTTTTTAATGTTAAAATAATAAGGGACAGATTTTTAGCAGGCATAAATTGTCAAATTACAAATGTTACACACTAAGTTGTTATAACAGAAGCCCAGAACTGCCTCTTGGGTTGCAACAAAAAATGACTGTACAATGATAAAAAATTATATATCTATACATTTATATATATATATATATAAATATATATACACACATATACACTTACCTAGTAACCTGAAATACTTTAATCCAATTACTTACATTCTCTCCCTTTAATGTACTTTTTCTGCACCTTTTTCACATGCAGACACATTCACTGTCTTATTTACATTTCAGAAGCAGCTTAAATGTTTACATGGCACCAGGAAAGACAATTTTATTACAGAAGTGTCAAGATTGTTCATGATTAAGGACTGGATTCCTTCACAAAACTCAGACAAAATCTTTTCTGTCCACAAAGCCTGGGTCATCCTGTGGCGTGAGGCCAGTGCTCTTGCCATGCTAATGACAACCCAGGAACTTTTAAGTCCCCTCATTTACCTGATGAATTTACCTGCCCTAGTCTCCATGCTTTTCTTTTAATTTTCCATTGTGAGAAATCTTCACCATCTTTGAGGGCCACCTTTAAACTTGAACTTCCCCATGCTGCTTTGAGAGGATGAGAAGCCCATTTAAATGAAATGTAATTGTTAATGAAGCTGCTCAGAAATGCCTTGCTGTGGTACCAACTCAGCCTGCTTTTTGCCTGTATGTGTGCAGTTCTCTTTCATCTTAATGTTTAGATTTATATTGCAAATTTGTTAAAGCAGACCATTTTTCTTTCATGTTCTCTTTACTTTTTCATTAACTTCATAAATTCTTTTTTCAGTGCAGCAGCTGTTGTACCATGGTACCTATGAGAACCTCTGTGGCATTAATGGTTTTGAGTAAGAAGCAGAGAAAATATTGCAATTTTCCTTAATCTTCCTTTGAATTTTGAGTTTGCCAAAACCTCAGGCTCAGAGCTCTAAGGTGAAAAAGAAATTCATAGTTTATGGTATAAAAACTCTCTGAGGTAACTCTCTGAGGTCCAGAATAATTTTCCAACATTTTAGGTGTAATTTACCTTGTAATATATGTAATTTAGAAAGCAGGGTTATATGAGTCTTCCCACACAAAATATTAAATAGATTCTGGAGCCAGTAAAATGCTAATTGAAGATTGCTTCATCTAGCTGTGTCTATATCTGGATAGCTTCTAGAATGTACATATTGAAATATTAATTCCAGGATTTTTACTCTTCTAAATGAAGTGAAGATAATATTTGCCATAAATGAAGCAGGTTAGAAAGGTATAGCTGACATCTAGTTAATTTTTACTTTTCTTTGCTAAGTTTCTATCAAATAATGGAATTCGGACCTTAGTATAATTTAGGTTGGAAGGGATCTATGTAAATCCAAGCTCCTGCTCAAAACAGACAAACTTCAAATTTCAGTGAGTTAAAGAGTGTTACCCCATTAAGTTTAAACAATCTTAAGAGACAGAGAGCTGTACTGCCTCCTGACACTTTTTTGTATGCATACAGTCAGAATTTCATTACAACATGCGACCAACATGTTACCTTTTTGTTGTGCTCCTCAGATGAAAGTCCACATTCAGCTAATTTTCTAATTGCTGTAGCTAAAATATCCTTTTAATCACTGAGAGAACAGGTACTCATCAGTAGTCCTTGCAATAGCTGACAGAGGCACCAAAGAGTCCTGTATCCCACTTGCAATAGCTGACAGAGGCACCAAAGAGTCCTGTATCCCAGCATCAAAGTACACAGCTTTTGCTAGATGCAGGCTTTGTGGCTGTCAGTCTTTTCATAATCCCTGACTGGAAAGATCTAGAATCCAGATCTGGATTAGGTCTCTGAAAAAGATCTGATTAGATCCATTGCCAATTGAAATAAAAAAGATACAGAACAAAAGTTTTCATTTTCTCGGGGAAAAACTCCAGCATAACAATAAAATCCATACCCTTCAGAAATACTGTAGAGACAGACTATTTTGCCTTTCATTTGCCAAAATGTGAATTTGCAGTGTTAAACTGCTACCTTATTTCTTAACAGAAGATAGAAAAAAATGTACTAGGCCTTGTACATTTTAGCCTAGTCTGCTTTTGGCTGCAGAAGCAAAATCATGTTCAAGTCAACCATCATTCAGAGCAAGCTACAAATACAAGCCATTTTAGCCCAAGGGTACCAAGGAAGCTGCTTTTTCAGACAAATGTTTTGGCTGTCTGCCTCCTCCAGTGTTTTGAGCTGCTTTTCCATTTTTCTCCTGTTCACATTTATAGCTCAATGTTTTAAAATAAAAGCTGGCATAATTGTCCTCTTTCTGTTGCCCTGGTGCATTTCTGTTTCCTTCTCAAGAGATCCTTCTTACACTTTGCACAGTCAGAACCCAAGAAACCACTGAAATTGTTTCACACAGCCAGCTACAAACATGCTGAATATTGATCATGTGCTCAAGCCCTTTCCTGAGTTGCAGGCAATGATCTTCCCTATAAATTGTCTTGTTTTCTTGAACGTGACACCTGGCACCCTGCTCACCTGAGCGCTGAGAGACAAAGGGCATTGCCTGCCCTTCATTCCTTGATGCTTCAGCGTGCCATGGCTCAGCCTGACAGAGTGAATGCTGATAATACCAACATCAAAGTTGCTTCTTTGCCTGAAGTAAAGGGTGAGCAGGGAAGTATTTATGTCTTTCACAGGGTTCATGTGTGCTGCACAGCTCAGCACACTGCAGAAACACCTCAGCTAGCTCTCAGCAAGCGCACTGAGGGCCACTGGCCTCAGCAGGAGCTCCACGCAGAGTAATTTGTCTCCTGTTTAAGGGTTAAAGTGCAATGAAAGCCAACTGCATTTCAAAGCCTGACTTAGATTTCACAGAGTACCTTAAATGTGTTTAGAATATAAAAATAAAAGTTTTCCTTTAGTTAGGTGTTCCTTTAGCAAGGTTAGAGCCCTGTGGTTTTTAATTTATGTTTATCAATTACTTTTAGCTCTCTTTTGAGGACAGCTCATCTTTAAACTACATAAAACGAATTTACTCCTTTGTCCAAAGACATTCTGCAAACCAAGGAATTGTTTTATTTTGAATATTAGTATTCAAATACAATATTTTTTATTTTTCTGATTTAAAAGTCTGAGTTGCAATTTGAACAAGTGCCACAAATGGTTACCACAGCCCTCAGTCACTGGCTGTGCTGTGAGATCAGTGTTCTGTAGAAATATGGCCATGACCACACTAATAAGGAACAGAGTCTGTGCACAGACAGAAGCATCCACCCTGTTAGCTTTGTTCCTGGCAGACTTTTGGATATTAACCAATTAACACCATCACAAACAGTCCTGGACCACAATCTGGGGGGTGGTGCACTCCAAGGATTGCTCCCAATAGGCAGTACAGATGTAGTTCCCTTGTTTTGAGAATTAAGAGAGTTTAGCTGTATAAATGTGTGGGTTGTGCCATATTATTTGTCCTCAGGGACAGAGAACAGTTTCTGGCCCATTTTATTTACTAGTATAGACAAAGCTTTTAGAAAAACACCAAACTTGGCAAAAGTTTTTTATTTGTATTGTGGTTCCAATAAATCTCTTCTTCTCTCAACGGCACTGTTACTTTTTACTGCAAAGCCATTAAGCTGAACATTTCTTTAATAATGATTATCAAAACCAGGATCACAAAGGGAATAAAAAGAAGCCAAACACTGGATTTTTTAATAAATTTCCTCTATGACATGCTTAAGATAAGAGAAGTTAGGAATCTCAAGAGGAGGCATGTACGGATATCTTTTAAAATACCTTAAAAAAAACCCCCTTAATTATAACACAATGTAAATATAGTGGTTTTACAACATAAATTGTCACATGGGTATAACATACAAAAAGTAATTATGAAACTTCACATCTTGTACCTAAATGTCTGACTTACAACTTTCATGTTGCACAGAGGTTAACATAATCTGTTAATTGGACACAATTATTTAATCTTAAACAAAATTATACAAAATGAAACAAAAATTAGAAAAAAAAAAAAAGGAAATTCACATAAAGCAAGAAGACAGATAGTTGTAACATGAGGTTTGTGCACACCCAGAATGATCCATTTTACTCAGGAGGAGGCCTCAAGCATAATCCCACTATATTTTTGCTCTGAAAAGGGTGATGGCATGAGTAGCAAATTGTTTCCTCTCCTGTTCAACCTAGCAGAAAATTACTTCTTCTGTTGTCTTTGTTGAACACTGTAGGGTACAGGGATCTCCAGGAAGCCTTATCTGGGTGCAAACTACACCCATGCCAGCAAAGAAAGGCGAGGGGGAAAACCCTGAAAAAACAAAGTGGCATGGGAAATGCTCCTTTCCTTCACTCGTCAAAGAAGGGGAATGTTGTCCATATTGCCTCCTGGGAGGGGTGTCCTTGGGTCCCTTCTGGACATGACCTAGGAAAATACCAGCTGGCGTAAGCTGAAACCCTGCCTATGAGCACGCTGATAATTAAGTAGTATAAAATCAGGCTGAATGATATCAGTCAGCCTTAAACCCATACTTTCTTTGGAAAAACAAATAATTATTATTTAAATGGCAAGATGAAGATTTGACCCTCAGTTTGGAAGGAGTTGTCTTTTTCTGGTATCTGCCCCATCTGCACAGTCTGAGCTCAAAGCTGGCTGTTGAACTTTGTCTTTGACCAACACACTCACTTGAAGGGAGATAACGTGGTCTGTAGGCAAAGATGCCATGTGCAAGGAATTCACACATGAAGCTGGAAAGAAGTCAGTACTGATGAAGTGGGATGCCAGCCTAGAGAATAAAATGATAAATTTTAAGAAATGGGAAGGAGGCAGTGGGTGGGGGATATATGATATGAAAATGATCATAACACTATAAATTATGTCAGATGAGGATATTA